TGTCTTTTAATCACTAACAAGATTGGTTCAGCGAGATTTACACTAGGGAAATTGAAGACGTTGATTCTCATGAACTGTTTCACTGGATCGCTTCCTGAAGAAAATTGGATAGCAATACCAATCATCAAATTACCTGTTTACAGGTGCCAAATCTTAATTTGGGTGATGATTAAATGCTTATATTCTAATGTTCTTCCTTATGTGCAGGACACCATAAGCAATTCGGTGGAGTTCTAGTGGTTTGAAAGACAAGGAGCTCTTAAAGAAGAGCAATTGAAAGGGATTTGTTGCGTTCAGGTGGTGGCTAAATTGGTGCTTCAATAAAGAGTATTTGTAGGGTTTAGATTGCGAGATTTGAGAGGAGAAAACGGACGGTGTGGACTTGTTTTATTTTTAAAAAATTCATAGCAAAGTTATAATATTTAACATAAAAATTGTTCAGTCATTAATTGAAATATAAAAAAAATTATTATACGGCCAATAAACTATAATATGTATTTGAAAAAATAAAAGCATAACTAAACAATTTTGGTGTTTCCCGAACATGGGCTGAGAGATTAGCATGTCGTATGAGAGAAACAACCGCTTGGAGTTCATAAACTTTGGGGCTACAGTCCGGATCAAAAGAGTTCCATAGTAGCCCAAGATGCTTAAGATATACAAAGGTCCACAAGGGAGACAACATCCTAGACATGCTATTCCCAATTTCCTATCATTAAAAACCATCGTTTGGGGGGTTATAGCGCATCTCAGGTCAAAAAACAGATCCACGCTGATCATAGCTCTATAGCTGACCCAATGGAAACAGAAAAGAAAAAAAGAACAAAGCCGATTATTTAAAAAATACAAGTTAAAATGCTGCACGAAGGTGATGGATGATTAAGCAATACAACATTCATAAAATTCCTGAGGTAACCCCAACAGCAGAACAGAAAAGGCAAGAAGAGTGCTTTGATATAATAGCAAATTGACTACACTTTCCATTCATAAAGCAACGCAAATCTTAAGAGCCAAAATTCAATTAAAAATCACAAGAACCGAACAAAAGAAAGAGTTCTCACTCCAGCCATAAACAGTCCTCGATAAAGAAAGCAATCAGAGGCATGAGAAGCTAAACCTAAACTACCCACCAGTAATGACTAAATAAAGCAAACTGTACCTCAGATATTGCTGGGATACATGAAAACCCGCACTCGAGCTCCCTGCAAATGAACCAAAAATTAATTAAACATGGCCAAATAGGCATAAACTGTGACATATCAATCACAATCACAATAGCTATTTTTTTAACAATACCATTGACTTTGGAGGCAGATTGGATTTGAACTTGGCTCTCACTACACCGCTGTTACCATGAGGCCTGGTGACCTTGCCCCAGATGCAGCGATAGTGGGTTCCATTCTTCTTCACCTTGGCCTTGTAGATGTATGCCATACGCTTCCCAGCATACCATGCAACCTCTTCCTTTGTGTTGACTCCCTCAACTTGGACCAGTGATGTGTTTGGATATTGGTTGGACTTCGACCTAATAACAAAGAATAATATTTTAATCTCGAAACTAGCACACAAAATCCAGACTCAATTCCATTTCCTGTCAGACTATTCATTCGCTGACACTCGCACAAAAGAATTAAATTACTCCCAATAAATCTAATATATCAGTTCCAGTAATTAGTCAATTAAAATTGATGCACATATTGATATATTTCATCAATAAAAACGAAAACTTGCACTGCCATCGACATGTGGAAACTCAAAAGTACTAAAGTCAAGCTTAGTTATTACCAAACAGATTAAAATCAGAGTACTAAAGTCAAGCTTAGTTGTTACCTCTTATAACCCAAGATTGTTCCCCGAACATAAAGCCTATAAAAGAAACAGAGATAATAATAGACATTAAAGCAATTATAGCTTCAAAAAAATGAAAAACCGATCCTTGTCTTTTTTAAAACATATATGTATAATGTAGAGGATGCAAGTATAGATCGCAGACCTGACGCGCTCTCCTTGACGTCCCTTCACCATTTTCAATCCCGCGAGTCCAAGCTCTCTCCCTAAAAAAAGTGGCTGCCACCGAGACGGGTACCTTAAACCCTAGCTACTGCTGCCGCTGCTGCCGATTTATTATGTTTATATAGAGCTCGGAGAGTCAATAGACCGTTCTGGTGGACTATAAGCGTATACTTTAGTTGGGCCGAAAGCCCATTATGAATTTCATTCAGCATTCTGGCCCGTGAAATATATCAGTTACCGAAGTAATGCTACGGGTCCTTTTGTTCTTTGAAGAGACGTCGTTGTATAATATTTTGTTTTAGTGTTGCTAGTTAACATCTCTTTGCGATGTTGTGGTTTCGTGATATGTTTATGTGTTTTTATAGATTTATAAAAAAAATTACATGTAAAAAAATTATTATAATTTATAATATTTTTTAAAAAAATTACAATACTTGATTTTCAACCAGGTTAATATTGAAAAAATAAAATGAACAAAGATAATTTTTTAAAAAATCATGATAAAAAAAATAAAATAAAAATAAACTATGCAGGGAAACACTGTAACAATATATATTATTTCAAGAGAAAATCTACAGTTATAATTCTCAACCATCTTAATATTAAAAATAATAAAATTAATAAAGATAATTTAAAAAAAATCATAACAAAAAAATCATATGGGGGGACATTGTAGTAATCCACGGTGTTTTAGTTTGTTTTTTTTTTAAATTATGATGCTAAATTTTCAACCAGCTCAATATGAAAAAAATAAAATCAATAAAGACAATTATAAATATATATATATATATATATATATATATATATAGAAAATCATGTGAAAAAACAGTATAACAATCTACAATGTTTAAAAAAAAACTACAAAACTAAATTCACAACTAGTTCAATATTAAAAAAATAAAATCGACAAAAACAATTCTAAAAAAAACACAAAAAAAAGAAGAAAATTTTGAAAAAAAAAAGCAAGAAGAAATGAAAAAATAGGAAAAAAATACGTGAGGAAAATTAAAGTTAATTTCTTAACCAACTCAATATTGAAAAAAATTTCATAAAGATAATTTTGAAAAAAAATATGAAAAAACACCGTAACAAAGCAAAAATCACGTGGGGAAAGATTGTAGTAATCCACAATGTTTTTTTTTAAAAAAAAACTATAAAGCAAAATCAACTCAATATAAAAAAAATAAAATCAGCAAAGATTATTTTGGAAAAGAAAAGGAAAAAAATTCATAAAAAAAAAGAAAAAACCTATATAGAAAAATACTATAGCAATATATAATATTTTAAAGAAAGATCTATAAAACTAAATTCTCAATTAATTCAATATTTTAAAAAAATAAAAAAGATAATTTTGAAAAAAATACAAAAAAAATAATAAAAAGAAGATAATTTTGAAAAAAATACAAAAAAAAATAAAAAAAGTTAAGGCTCAATTCTCAATCAATTTAATAGTAAAATTATTTAGGAAAATACTGTAGCAATAAAAAAAAAGGAAAATTACAATATTTTCTCCACATATTTTAGAATATTTATTTAATAGTGTTTTTTAAAAATATTTTTAGGTGTTTTTTAAAAATATTTCTGGCTTAAAAAAGCTTTGATGTTTTATTCATTACTTTCTAGTGGTTTAGATATATTTATATTAAAAAATTTTAAAAAAATTATTTAAAAGTATTTTCTAGTAAAAATTTGTTTTAAAAAATTACCATATAATCTATTTAAGGGTGTTGCCTTTGCAATCCAAAGACTCCGTTGTTATACAATGTCTGGAGGACTGAGGTTTACCAAAAAAATTGAGAAGCTAGGAAAGAAGTTGGTCAACAGGCTCAAGAATGACGGTGGACCATTCATAGCTCTTCATTTGATGTGCTTTTTCTATATGTGTGTGTGGGTGACATGATCAAAATGTGTTCACTTTGCTAAATTTTACTAACCAGGCAGTACCAATTCCAGATACGAAAAAAGACATCCTTGCTTTCACTGGTTTCAGTCCGAGTTACAAAAATCTGGAAGAAGGAAACTATCAATAGCACAAAGCGACTTCAAAGGGTTGTGCCCCAGGACTCCAAGAGAGACTGCAGTGTTTCTTGAGGCAATGGAATGTTCTTTTGATACAATAATTTACATAGTTGCAGAAGAAATTCATGGTCATGATGGAATTAAAGCACTCAAAGCCAAGTATCCAAATTCGTACTCTCATTTCTCTCTGGCAAAAGAAGAAGAATTGAGGCTCTTTAAGGATTGCCAAAACCAGCTAGCTGCCGTAGACTATATTGTAGCGGTCGAGAGTGATGCTTTTGTTCATAGCGACCAATGTTAATATGGCAAAGGCAGTGACAGATCATAGAAAACATGAAGGTTTTAGAAAAAACATCAACCCTGTATTCCAAAATCACAAATTTATTTTTAACATTAGTTAAACCCAACCGTGGAAACAAACAAGGTCAAATTTGAGCGGGAAATGGAGGGGAGTCAGGAAAGAAATCACAGGTCTAGAGAACAAAGAACAGTTTGGTCCATGCTTTATTCATTTGAAGTGCAATCACGAAGAATATGATGAAACTTCCAGCCTTAGCTTTCACACACATTCATTGCTTTAATTTGACAAGTTATTTTATTAATGCTAGCTGAACGAGATTTTCCAATATAAAAAAACCAAACCAGCCTTAACATGGACTATGAGAAGCTCAGCTATACCAATCTAGAAAGAGGACTGAAAAAGTAAGCACAAAAAGGAAAAGCAAGAGAAAAGTCCTGCTACTGCTATTCCGCTGTACTGCCTGCGACAACTCTTTGTTTCCAAGCTCTACGTTCTTTGTAGCTTCAACTGCCTATAGTACGACATAAAAAAGGAAGGTGTGAGAACGGATTACAAATCAAAGAGCCAAAAAGAAAACCCTTTCAGTTGATTAGCAGTTAAATAAGAAGTCCAAAAGACAAGGCAATCTTTTACGTTTTCCTTTTTCCTTTTTTTTTTTTTTTTTTGGGGTGAAATGGTAAAAAAAATAATGCAATATTACACATGTGGCAGAGAACAAGGTTTGATCTGCTCAGGTATTTGCAGCAGCAGCAAAATTCATAATCCAAAATCAGAATTAACAAGGATAATAGCAGTAGTGGAGACTTGATTGAAGAGAAATTACTACTTCACAAATTTGTTTTAATCATAGAACAGCATCAGAATTGTGGCATCAGAACATAACTTCATTTTAAAAACAAAAATGAGAATATTTAGCAAATAAGAATTTGTCTGAGTAGGAATTCTTCTATACACTGCTGTAATTAATCTCATCACATTTGACAACATGGTTCCAGGATCCTTGAAATATATAAAAAAATGTTTAATCAAGTTTTTCTATTAAAATGTGCTAAGTATTAACCTCGAAACACCAACTTGATATATGCAACAGCAATTGAAGAAAATCATGATCTACTTGGTACACAGCACATGTCATATCACTATTAACAGCAGTCAGTCAGCCTCCAACCATGTGGATCCTAAATCAACCTGGATTCTGCATAAGCCTATTTAAACTCAATATCACCGAATAAGAAAACATCTATTCTGAAGTAGAAACTAACTGATTTGTATAACAACTCAAGCCTACGTATTTTCCTGTTTGGTCTTCAGGCATCAAAATGTCCTATGTTTTTTTTCAATGCCCAATGGAGTGGCAAGGATTTTCAATCTTGGGGGTTAAAAAGATAATTGCACTTTATATTTGTTCTTTGGAATGTGAAGTAACTGGGGAGGTGAAAGATCCTTTCCCTAAAGGTTGGAGAAGCTATTTAGGAATTGCAGCAATGCAATCAGAGAATTCTGATGTGATTGCTTGGAGAAGCTATTTAGGAATTGCAGCAATGCAATCAGAGAATTCTGATGTGATTGCAGACCAGTCTGGTAGTTTCAACTGGCAGTTCATTGGTTAAAGAATCAATTTTACTCAATGTTTGATTCAACGTACAGCACCTAACCCATCCAATCAAAAAATCACTCTACTGCAATGGATGCAGAGGCTCTGTGGTACCCAAAGCATTGAAGTTATCCAGTAGCCCGGAAATTAATTGATATACTATTAGCTTTAGATCAGACAACCTGAATGCAATCACACACAAGAGAAACATGAACCAAAAATTCATTTTCAATAGGATATTTCCTCTTTTCCTAAGTTTAAAATACAAAGGAGCATTCTGCACACAGTTTCTTCTTCATAATGCAGGTACGAACTATTATTCCAGGCAGATTTTAACTTGACAGAATCCACCCAACCACACAGCCTCATATAACTATTAGTTTTCCTGAAAAAGATATTTGGAGGTTTGAAGAAATGCAAATGTTCTAGCTAGACATGCTGACCTGATCATACAGAAGCTCTATTTGTTGTGCTTGTTGCAGAACATGTGTGGACATGAGGTGATTCAATGCAGACATTTCTACCATCTTAGTTTCAGTTTCTTGAACTGCATCTAGAAGACTAGTCAACTCCACCTGCAAACAAGTCCAACAGGAAGCAGCCCTTGTTATAAAAGCCTCAAAGACCCATCTGAACAATCATAGAGTCTGATAATGGAAACGGCTGTAAAAATCTCATCAATAGCTATTTCTTATAACCTGTAGGGCACGAGTTTCATCATCCAACAATTGCTGTTGAACTCCAAGAGGCTCCGGCTGAATTTCATCAGGTTCCTTAAACTCTAAATTGTTTGTTTTAGAGGAACTAGAGGAACCAACAGAGCTTGTATTTTTATTTGCAGCCCGGTTAAGTTTTCTCCTTGGTATCCTCTTATTAATAGCATCCTGGAAGCGTATGGCTCTAAGTTGATCAAACCTTGCAGTGACGGAATGAAGTTTCTCACTTAAAATCAAAACCTGCAGATTTAAAAGTAGCAGAATGGTAAATTAATCCAGCCAAACAATGCCTTCGATTTCATTTCATCCTGAAAGAAACAGAAGATTCATATGCAGGGACTTGAATATAGAAAGTGAACTTATTAGCAAATCCTGAATCTGCAAAGAATGAAATTTATTCTAAGATTAAGCAAAGACAAGAGACTTTCTTGCCAACACAACTAAGATAACAACGAAAAGGGTTTGTGTCAGACTATGTGCATGAGGCATTACAATTGTTGGTAGTTATGATATCTTATACAACTGAGAATTGTGACAATTTACATTTAGAGCTCCAAGCTCCGAGGCCTCTAATCGATTTAATATTTGTACTATGCTAAATGTTTAGAAGAATAGATCTATATAAAATAACAAATTTCGACTACAGTCTTTACCATGTAGATTAGGAAGAGAAAAAGGTGATTAAATGAAGGATACTGTTCAGGTAAGCTAAATATTTTATCTCCCAGACAAGTTTAGCATGCAATGAATAAGCTCAATTAAACATTATGAAGATAATAAACATACCACTCCATGTTTGTGTGCTATAGTATCAGTGTTAGAGGTATCAGCCTTGATGCCAAGCCATCCCTTTGTACTTGCTTCTTCATCGTTTATGCTATCCTTGAGAATGTCAATTTGTTCTTTGCATGCTTTAATAAATGCAGTAACCTGCAGAAATCGATGTTGCAGAAAATGATGAGGAAAAACAAATACCATCAAGCAAAAGGACAGATAGAAATAGAGAAGACAAAATGGCAAAAAGAAAAAGGATCCATTAATCCAGCCTATTTTCAAATGCTGCTTTAGTGAACATACTTGGAATTTATGATGCACTCAACACAATAAAAAAGACAATAAATCAGTAAATATGTCATCGAATTAAACCTAGGAATCTATCGCAGCCAAGGCTCATTGATCTATCAACCACTTGGGGGACTAATGTTTTAATTTCACATTTCTCACTTATAGTTCCAGGCATCAAAAGAAGATACCTGGTTATAAACAACACCAATGAAAGAACAACTTAAATAATACTAACAGCTACTTCCTCTATCAAGCACGTTGAAAGATTATCCGATCTGCACATTCTATAATGTCGACAAATTATACATGACACAGTGACCCGACAGACTATAATACCCCACAACGTACCTCTTGTTCAATGCTATCCCTCTCCTGTTCGGTGGTACGATGCAGATCAACATAATCCTTCCTATGCTTCAGCATAAATTGTTCTAAAGCTCCAATGCTTTCAAGCTAATTCATACATCAAATGAACCTCAGAAAAAGGGTTAGTCAGTCAAATATAACTTTTATGTGCATCCCAAAATTTGCACAAACAAGCTCACGAATGGAAACATTAAACATACCGTTTTAAGAGCAGCTTTAGTAAACGGTGACCTTTGCCGTGGTTTATGAACGATAAAGGACGCCATAATGGCTGCCAATTTGGACTGTCAAAAAGTAACCACATCCACATTCGCATTCACACAACACAAAATTCAGCAAAACATAATTTGAAAGAGGAAATGAAACAAAAACAATAAAATTTTTACCTCATTGTAACCTAAGGAAACAGCAGTGTGCCTTACTGCATCTTTAAAATCCTCTGTTCTGTCTCTAATTTTAGCCATACCACCCACCAGTTAATTACCTTCACACATAGATTTTCCAGAAAAAAAAATAAAGCTTAAATGCACCTCATATATACATATAAGCAAGACAAATTTGAGGAAAAAAAAATCTAACCTTGATCATGCAATCACTAATTTGAATTTACGTTAACTGGATCAAATTGAATTGCAGCCGATAATAACGGCCACGGAAGTGCAAAGGAATTTAATCATGATCAAACTCAAGTTGAATAATTCTTTCGATTACGAGGGAGAGGGAAAGAGAGGGAGAGGGACAAGAGATTGGAATCTGATAAAAGAATCGAGACTCAAAAGAGAACGCTTGCACGAAACGCGCTTCTTTCTCTCTCTCTCTAGTTTTTACATAAGTAGGCTGATTGGGCTCGGGCCCATCATAAAAAAAAAAAAAAATTTGACAGCCCGTCTCTTGTATAATTTTTGCCTAACCAAACGTGCCCTTGATACAATTCAATCTAAATTCTCAGTTGCTTGACAAGAAGAGGCTTCTTGCTTTAGTTCCACGCTCTGATTTGGGTTCGCATTCGCATAACTTGCTCAGCGATTCAAAGCATCAAAGAGGAAGCAGCTTTGCCTTCACAGGTTATTTTATTGCAAGTTCGGTTCTTTTATATTGTGTTTTCATATTCTTAATTTGATCTGCTTCTTCATTTGTGTGCTTAACTTGCTACCTTCGAAAGCATTAGATTTAGTTTATGCTGCCAACGATGACATTGTATATTTTCGTGTTCAATGCGTGATATTTTTTTTGATGATTTTTTTTCTTTGAATTTTTAAAGCAGTTTCTTGAAATTATGTTGATGAAAAACTCAGTCATTCTACGGTAGCTTATGCCTCTTTTATCTTTGGATCAAAACAAAATGTAGACATAAATAAGATTTATAGGGCAGCACAGAGTTGAAGGGGTGAGAGATCCTATTTTCACATGCATAAGAGTAACTTGTCTCCTGTTTGTCTACTTTTCCCTCTTTATTTTTTCTGGAATTTCATCGATTCTGAGCATAAAATTTTGGGTTCTCTGTAGTTAATTTGGGCTTTCTTTATCATTTAGGAAATGGGTTTGTGGATTTTATTGGAGGGCTTTCTGCTTCTTGCAAATGCATTTGCAATATTAAATGAAGATCGGTTTCTTGCACCTAGAGGATGGAGCTTCTCTGAATTCTCTGTAGGTCGAACAAAGTCTTTGAAAGGGCAGCTTATAGGTCTCATTTATGCGACCCAATATATGAGAGTTCCACTTATAATACTCAATTCCATTTTCATCTTTGTAAAGCTGGTATCTGGATGACGATGCTAAGGTAAGTTAAAACCGTATTGTATGTTTGTCTCTACGTGTGATTGCTGGTAATAGATTGTATGGGTAGATTTTTGTTCAAGTAATGATGGGCCTTCACTAGGGCTAGCCCCTTACCCTTGGTTGGGACTTTTTGTTTAACATACATGCTAAAACGGATAGAAACTGAGTTCTTTCATTATGATGAAGTGACATGGATCTCTTGAGAAATGAGATAGAAATTTGAGAATGTCACTCCAGAATTTGAGATCGGTGGCCTTTGTTACTAGTAGATTTTAATCATTGGCTATATGCTGTGAAGAATTCAATTGCATGGATAAGGCCTCCAGTATGCTTTGAGAATGTTTTTGTTTCTCTTTCTGAAGATTAAGCATACGTTGTAGGCCATTTTCTGATTTATGCTTACACAGTGTGTCAAATCAGTATCAAGGATCGCATGATGAGGATATGCAAATGCAATTGGTGCTTAAAAAGATTTTTTCCCCTTAAAATTAATAAGGTAGGAAGACAACTAAATCCTATACCTTTGGATTGGATTTATACTGGAGCTGCCAGAGGCAAAATCGAGGTTGGCAGATAAAAGAAAATACAATATGACATCAAATATTATGATGAGAATGGTGACTGGATGTGACATCTCTCCTTTTCAATCTTGTGTGATTGAAGATTAAACCCGTGTCATGTATTCCTTTGCTCAGTGCATAGGTTGGTCGTTGACTGGTCTTTTATTTTCCTGCTTCAACTCATAAGCTTACTACTTTTGAGAAGGATTCCTTCTTAACCAAGAACAAAGCAAATGCTTAAAGTTCTTTGTCGTGCAGCGTGGGGCGCATCTGTTCCTTCAGCGTTGACTTTATCTTTTTCGCTTCTTTTCATTTCTTTTTGTTATTTTAAAGTTCACATTTAGTCCATCAGTTATTGTTTGAACTTGAATCTAGGATATAAATTTCTGTTTACAACTATCTTTCTGTGATTAATTTAGTTCCTTTTCTTTTGTGTGGCAGCAATCATGGAGCTTGGCTAATAGGATTGTAAACAACATTTCTTTTTAGAAAGGCAGAGGAGGCATAGGATTCAGGAAATCCAAGACATGATTGATTTATTTGGAATATCCTTTCTCAAAAACTAGTGATTTTAAGGTTGCATGTGTTGCTAAAAAAAAAACGATGAGATGTGGGGTGAAAATGGTGTGGATTTAGGGCCATTTTATAATTGGTGTTTGTATTGTTTGACAAGTTTCAAAAGTAACAAACGTTCTATGACATTTAGTGTTTTGTTGTCAACCTAATTATTCTTTGTGATTTGATGCAGTAATAATGTTTTTCGTTCTCCATTTCTCGATAGATTCTGCATGTTAATGCGAGGAACACCCTTACTGGAGTGGATGTATTTTACGCTCGTTATGCATTTGAAGTTGCGGTCTTGTGTGTGAAAGCCAATTGTGACTTCAATTGTTTGAAGTTGCGGTCTTGTGTGTGAAAGCCAATTGTGACTTCACTGTTTGGTTCTTATGGGAACATTTGGTGTTCATTTCATCAGTGTGGTGAGGGGCTTCATGTGATTCTTCTACATCCAGGCAGATGTTGAAATAGGATACCTGTGGTGCTGATCCCTTTTTCAGTTAATGCTGTGATATTGACGCACAAAATCTGATGTTTGCCCAAATTTTTTTTATAAATCAGAGGAATGAAAGCGTGCTCTTTTCACCTCTCCTTTTTAACCAACAACATATAAAGGTTCCACTCTCCATTATAGGATTCTACAACCTCCATACAGGCTGTGCTGTGATGGAGGGCACAAGTTTAGAAGTTTTTATACTATATTCAACGAGGTACTATTTCAAGAAGTGTAGAGCTGTGTCGAATGTAGCTGTTTCTGTCATCATTTTTATGTTGGCATCTATTTATCTAATTTTGCAGACTCGATCTGGATGTCAGGTATTCGGGATAATGAATTCTGCATATAATCACACCATATGTTACGCAACCATTCTCCCGCATTTTTTAAGCAGAGAATTGGGCATCGCCTCATTACGTTGTAAATTTGTGATAGACGGGTGTTCAGTGGAAAAGATTTGTTGTTTCAAGGGCGCCTGTCGAGTATTTTGAAGCTATACTTGAGGATTTCTAAGTTCCTTGGCATGTCTTTTCTTTTTTTGGTTTTTCTCAATATATTTATGAGCAATAGATTTCATCGAAAGTTGCAGTTATTGAAAGTAAAAGCCACAAGCAGCACACCAGGCAACAAAGTATACAAATTGGCGAACACCCAAAAAACACCAATTTGGATGAAGGTGTGAAGCTTGTTGATTGCAGAATATCAATATTACCATTTTATGAAGGTAACGATAAGAAAATACAAAGGAAATCAAAAGTTAACTAAAATGCGGATAAGATCTAAATCAAGTGGATTCAATCGGAATCTATTTTTCACTATAAATCAGCGAATACATGGTATGTCTTGGAATCTACTGCAATAAGTCTCAGAGCTGAAACTGCTGCTGCAATGGACATCAGGCCGAAAAAACAAACATTGAACCAATGCCAAAGCTTTTGTAGAGAAGTCAATTTGTTCTTCTTTGCTTTTAGGTACATGTGGTTGGCCAGAATAAATGTAAGGGGGAAGGTGCTTATAGCGCCAGTAAGGCTCATAAAATCTCCAAGGAAAGGCAGAAGAGCTGCCACCAGCGTGTTAATAGTCAGGTAGCCGCCTCTTACCCCGACCCTAAACGACAAGTTGCGAATTGAAAATGGACTTCCTATAATCCCATACTTTGTATCCAAATACTCATACATTGGGCTTGCAAATATCTACAAGAAGCAGGTGTATGTTAGCGCAGCAGTCAAAAAGAGGAAGAAGAAGATACAGCGATAAAAGGAGATTTTCAGAAAGCACGGGTCTTGAATGAATTACATGCAGAGCAATGACTGTTTGAAGGAATGCAGAGATGTTGGCCAATGCCTTCACCCAAACCGGGCCATTGACGCTGCTAAGCAAATAGGTTGATGTTGAAGATCCATAAGCCCAATATCCAATAAATGTCACTGCATACATTGGTAAAACTCCAGCCGAGAATTGGAAGTAAAGTGATTTCATCATGTTACTGACAACGGGCTGTTTTATTGTTGCCTGGTGCAAAGTAGACACCAAAAGACGTGTAAGTTTTGGAGGCATAAAAACAAGAGAAAAGGGAAGAAATAACCTTACATAGCCTACATCCTGTGAAAAATAGTAAAATACTACTATCAATGTTAGCCTCAAGAAGTATGCACTATTATGATTACCGAACACAGGTTTCCAAATACAAAAGGGTCAAACTTCGATAAATCTCGGACCATACAAGAGAATAAGAGGCTGCAAAATAGCTTCACGGCCGGATATAAAATAGATATCCAATAAAAAATGCATTAATTCCCCGACTACAGTTATATTACATCATTTTTATTTTTATTTAGATGGGGCAAAAGAACACTCTCAAATTCTGTGAATAACTCATAGACTTGATCCCTTGCTTACCTGTATTTCTGGAAGCATTCCTGTATTAAATGCAAAAACCAGATTAGCAGATGCTCCTATTGTTGTAAAGATTTTGCTTCTTGTTGTTCCTGGAATGCTGTAATCCCTGGCTGGTGCTTCAATTCCTATAACAGCACAGATATTGATGCAAATTCAGAACTAGAGAAACAATGACCTGGGCTAGAAAAATAAGCAAAATAAGAAATACGTATGTTATGCCTAAACTCAAATTTAAGGTGGGCAAATAGGACAGGAAACATAATGGTAACAAATTGAAGGAAAATGAAATTAAAAATTTTTTTAGCAAAAGAAACTCTTGGAAGCAATATGATCTTTAAGTTGTTAATTCTAACAATCTAGGGACAACATACGATATGGAAACTGTAATCAAATCATACAAACAGAAAACGCACAGCAAAGTTTGATGAGAACCAATAATTGTATCAAACTGTATGTCAAATTTACTATTGCTACGCATGTCAGACAGTGTACCGTGTTGAAG